TGAGATGACCCGCCCCCTCAAGGTCCTGTACGTGCATAAATGTCACCGGTCATTCAGCATATTTTAGGAGTCTTAAAGCAAAGGCTACAGTTGATGTTTTGGTTGTTCTTATATGGCTCTGCCTACCTGTTTCAGATTCTAAGTGCTGGTCTCCATGTCTAAACCCTGCTGTCTGTTTCCTTGGCCCATTTTGAACCCTGGCCACAAACCTTTCCCTGGATCTTCATCTGTGTCCCTAGGAGGACTTGAAAAAGAATGCGCTCTCTATTCTGAGTACTTAAGCAAACTTTCTGATCTCAAAAACACTCCAAATCATGTAATTCATCATCTATCTCTTGTGCTTGCAACAAGGTAATTTAGAGCCGGAGTTGCATCCTCCTTTACAAATATACGGAACTAGATGGCAGGCATTCTGTCCACTCACCTCATGTCTGGCTTTATCTTACCTTTCGCACTTTCGGTTTTCTTTTATTCCATCTTCCTCCCTGACTATGTTAAATTTTATTTCATCCTCTTATACTTTATAAACTTTATGTTGAAATAAGCTGGCCTGGAGAAATGCATCCTCCAGCTGGCTCTCACACCCTGGGAGCCGGGGTCTCTAGGACTAGCGCTGACCTCCAGCCGAATCCTCTGATTTTGCTTCTGTTTGTGGTCTGCTGCAGAATTTACATTTCTAGCCATCCATCCCATTTCCCTCAGACCCTGCACTTACTCTGTTCCATCAAATTTTAGATTGAGTTTAGCTCTCATTTTCTGGATTTGTTACTTGCTAGGAGTCTTGATTTGGTAGTCAGATCCAAAGAGGTCCCAGCAGGCAGAACAAACTGTGCTGAAATAACCTCATAGACAGCTGGAAAGAGCAAGGATCTTTGCACAATGTTTCTGCACGTTGTACGTCCTTAATACATACTTGCTAGATGAATGAGTCTAGAGAAAGCCATAGCGAAATTAATTATTTTTTTCAGCAGTTTTTCATTGAAGTATAGTTGATTTACAACATTCTGTTACTTTCAGGTGTATGGCAAAGTGATTCAGTTATATATATATACTTTTTCAAATTCTTTTCCATTATAATTACAAGATGTTGGATATAGTTATCTGTGTTATTACAGTAAATCCTTTTTGCTTATCTATTTTGTTTAGTAGTTTGTATTTATTTATCTCATACTCCTAATTTATCCCCCTTCCTTTTCCCCTTTCATGGCCTTAAGTTTGCTTTCTCTGGCTGTGAGTCTGTTTCTGCTTTGTATATAGATTCATTTGTATTATTTTTTAGATTCTATGAATAAGTGGTACCATTTGTCTTTGTCTGATTTACTTCATTTAGTATGATATTTTCTAGGTCCATCTATGTTGCTGCAAATGGCAATATTTCATTCTTTTTATGGCTGAGTAGTATTCCGTTGTGTGTGTGTATCACATCTTTTTAAACTAATCATCATTTGTAAATAGTGCTGCCATGAACACTGGGGTACATGTATCTTTTCAAATTAGTGTTTTCATCTTTTCTGGATTATATACCCAGAACTAATTACT